TTTAAGAAACAGAGAAGAAAGCTCTTAGAGTCAAAAATGCCAATTATAAAATGAACGAATGCTAGAATTTAATCCTGCTGTGACTCTACAAGTTCTTGATTTTTCCTTGGCAGGTGAAGTCTTGAAAAACAAAGCTTGCATGATTAAGTGGCACCCTAAAACTTTGAATTCATTTAGTTTCAGTAGTATCTTGTTGCACATTTTTCCTGTGCTCTCATTGTCCCTGCCAGTGAGAGAATCAATAATATAGGATTAATCTCCTCAAAGCAAGGCCATTGGATAATTCAAGTTGTACACATGGAATGCAAAAATAACAGCTGTGCAAGGGAGTATGTTATTCTAAGAGATAAAGTGGGTGCCTCAAATGTACTAACTGTAATAGGAATTTAATGAGTTTTCAACAAGATCCTTTTCTTCTATTCTCAGGGTTGCCACCTTCTAGAGAATGCACACACTCACACACCCTCCCAAACAAAGGCCTAGTACTTTCAAGGTTCAAGAACAAGCAAGACTAGTGGGTGATAATTGGTGCATCAACATTTACTTAGTTTTTGGTTTTAAGGATTGTTTGTTTGTTTGTTTCATGTCAGCAAGGGGAGAAAACAACAGCTCAAGGTGTTTTTCTTTCTTTCAATGATACTCTAGCTACTGAGCTTCGTCACCTATGACAAGCTTTGCATTTGTCAGTCACAGCTGGTCTTTGATAATAGTCAGTGTTCCTTTCTGGGTGCAATATTGAGCAACAAAACTTGGGAAGAGATCCAATTATTCATACTGTTATTAAAGTTAGACATTTGTTTTGCCCTAAATGTATCATACCAAAAGCCGAAGGCATCTGAGTCAGTATGGGCAACTGTTTCCCTTTTTTGCCAATGAAGTTGTGCCATGAGGATAAAGAGCAGCACAGAGAGGAAGCAGTGGCCTAGGAGTGATCTGGGAAATTCCAGCTGCCCTCCTGCCCTACTTATTACGAATAGAGATGACTCACTGTTAGGAAGCACACAGATGTTGACTTGGCCAATAAAATCCTTTGCAAAATTTAACTTTTCTGGACCCTCACTTCCTCTTCTGGGAAAAATAAAACAGCTTATTATATTTAGACACCTACATAGTATTGTTTGGTACTGGTATAAAAGAATAGGCATTCACATCGTTTTTTTAATGTGTTATTTCTTATGTCCTTGAAACCAGCCTTCTCCTGAACATATGTGTCTATAGAAGACACATTGTACAATAGAAACCTCCACAACCCAGGCTCCTGCTGTGCAGGTGTGTGGTGGTCTGCTGCTTGAAAGACATGGGAATTTCAGATAAGCACACCTACTAATAAATCCTGATGTGTCCACCCAAATATAGGCATCCAGAGACTCAGGTTATAAACCTGGCTCTACTGAGTAGCTGTGACCTCAGTTTCCTCACCTGTGAAATCAAAAGGTTTGACTCTAAAGGCTTCTACCTCCTTTATTGTTTTATGATTCTACAGTGTTAAAAATAAAAACCTATAGCGCCTACCCTCTCTGTTAGCTATCTGCCATAAGAGTAAGGACGTACCAGTTTTCTTTCAGTGTAAGAGGTAGAAGAGTATGGGTTGGGTAATACTGGGTCAAGGATAAGACACAACTTGTAATTGAGTTAAAAACAATTCCTTACTTACCTCATTGGGCTGTTGTAATCATCATATGAGATCACATCCTTGAGAAATTTATCATTAATTGTGCTCTATAGAAACATGCTATAGACTGATTGTGTCTCTTCAAAATGTTATGTTGAAACCTAATCCCCAATGTGATGATATTAGAAGATGGGGCCTTTAGAAGGTGCTTAGGTCATGAGGGCAGATCTTAATGAATGGGATTAGGGTCCTTACAGAAGAGACCCTGAGACTCCTAGCCCCCTGTGCCATGTGAAGTTACAGTGAAAAGGCAGCTGTCTGTGAACCAGAAAGTGGGATATCACCAGACACTAAATCTGCCAACACCAGCCTCCAGAACTGTGAAAATAAGTCATTCAGTCTGTGATATTTTGTTATAGTAGTTTAAATGGATTAAGATAAGATGTTGTACTAATAACAAATGTAAATATATTTTATCCAATAAATGTTGGTCAAGCATCTTCTATATATCAGGCATTAAGAAGACACTATCCTGTTTTCCCAGGGCTCACAAGGAGTCAAAGGAACTCTGTTAAAATGATAACAATATCCTTTAAAAAATATTTTTTTACCTTTATGAAAAGCTTGAAGTTGAATAAAGGATAAAATTGCTAAAGCTATTTTCTTCTCTATTTTCAAGTATTACACATATTTTTAAATGTCCCTTCCCCAAACCTGAAGAAAAACATACCTGAGATTTGGCAAAAGCTCAATTGATTTCAGTGCTACCATCTATTAACTGTTGGGACCAAGGGTAGTGGCAAGTTTTTAATGTACTCCCCAGCAATGACAAGAGAAAAATGGATAATTATAACCTCACTGTAAAGGGTAATAAAAGACTGACCTTGGGCTATGAAAAATGTGTCTGTGGCCTTGGGTCTGCAAAGCCCACTATCCCCCACTTTGCACTTTATGCTTGGGTAGCATGGCTCTTACCAGCTTCTAGATCCCTTTATATAGCACGCTGGTTCAAACCTCTGTGCATTTTCTCATTCTGTGCCCTCAGCCTGGAATAAGTAATTCCCCATCACGCCTCGCTCTTCCTCCCTCCTTGGTCCTCCTCCCTTCTCCTTCACTTCTCCCACAGGCTGCTGCTCATTTTTGAAGATTCCACTCCACTTTATTTCCTGCCCAAAGTCTTCCGAATTCCCTGCCACCCCCAGTCTTTGTGAGCTGCCCCTTCACTGCACTCCTATCAGCTCTACAGTGTCAAGGCACTTATCACGGTGTGTGAGAAACTTCTGTATTGTGTCTGTTTCTCCCTCTATCCCAGGTGTTCTCAACTGGAGGAGATTTTGTCCCCGGGGGCACATTCCATCTATCCTTTTTCTCATTTCTTTGTCATCTTATAATTCTGGTTTGGACTCCTAGGCTATTTGCTTTCTCCTCCAGCCTCTCATTGGCATGTCTTTAATAATTTTGCATACTTCATACTTCATTTTTGTGCATCTTAAAACTTTTAACCTTTCATCTGAAAATAAATGCTAAAAAAATAATGCTTATGAATATATTATATACAATATTAAGTTCAAAATAGTATGTTTCACGTTGTATATTATAGATATGCTAAGCTTAATTTTAAGATTAAATAAAACAAATGGAAGTGCATGCATTTATGTGTACACAGCCTCTCTGTGTCTGTGGCTTGTTACTGTCAACACTTATAAGCTCATAGGTGTGGTTTTCAAATAATCACTGGACATATATGTATGTCTGTTGGTGGAGCTAGTCATTCCTACCAAATGTTTGGGAAATGTATTTAAACACACAAAATAGTTCCTCCTACAGAAAGCATAATAGTGCCTTCTCCCACATTCAAGAATAATAATTAACTTCCTTCACAAAAGAATATATTAAAGCAAAGCAAATTGAGACCTTACTGAAGAAATATTTCTATTGGGAACATGAGCTAATGGGTAACTCTAAGAAAGCTCTCACAGACGTTGTTCAACCACTATGAAAACAAAGACAGCACAAGAAATAAACTGCTGCCCTAACCAGTTTGGCTCAGTGGATAGAGCGTCAGCCTGCGGACCAAAGGGTCCCAGGTTCGATTCCGGTCAAGAGCATGTACCTTGGTTGTGGGCACATCCCCAGTAGGGGGTGTGCAAGAGGCAACTGATACGATTTTTCTCTCTCATCGATGTTTCTAACTCTCTATCCCTCTCCCTCTCCCTTTCTCTCTGTAAAAAAATCAATAAAATATATTTTAAAAAAACAAAAACAAAAAAACACACACAAAAAAGAAATAAACTGCTGATGCCAATTGACCTCTTAAATTAATGACTGAATACTGTATACTATATAATTGAGAGAGAGATAGAAAGATCAACGATGAGAGAGAATCATTGATTGGCTGCCTCCTGCATGCCTCACACTGAAGATCAGACCTGCAACTCAGGCATGTGCCCTGACCAGGAATCGAACTGTGACCTCCTAGTTCATAGGTCAACGCTCAACCACTGAGCCATGCCAGCTAGGCGACTTACAATTTTTTGATATGGAACTGGAATTCAATATACTGGAATTTTAAAAAATTTATTGGGGTACACTCTATTTTAAATGAAGCAGGGAAGAAAAAAAAGTGAGCTCTGTTCTCAGATAATGTAAGACTCTGGACTTACATATTAAACAACTGAAACCTGTATGTAGAAACACTAAAACCAGTACCAATAAATGTGTTCTTCACATGTGTCTCATTGCTTTGCAAACAGTAGGTGCTTGTTGAAATAATTATGGAGCCAAATGAGTTCTAGAAGCATTAAGAGGATCTGATTATGGGTATGAACAGTGTTAGATGCAAAATGAGTTTGTAAGAAAATATGGATAACTTCTTTATGATAGTAACAGTAACTCCCCACAGTACTTCCCCATTATCGAAAAGTTCCAATGGTCTTATAAATATTGTGAATATTAAACAAAAGTATCCAGCTGAAGACAGCAATTTATTACAGTGAGAATTGCCATAATTCAACTAAATGTTTATTGAGTGCCCATAACAGGCAGAAACTGCACAATTGATATTTAAAAGTCTTAATTTATTCACAACACTGGCAAAAATCCCTACATAACTATTCAAAATTGTGGTCAGTATAAAAATGGTAATGAGTGTAACCACATTTTATAAGCTTACTTTTCTCTAAATTAGAAACATTCTGAATTGGGATAGGAGTTTGTGATTCTAGGCTAATTTATATCAAGTACCTATTTATTTCTGCTACTTCGTATTTTAAATATAAAGCAAGCTATGTCTTCTTCATAGTCTTTACCATGGTTTCCTGAATTTACTGTGTTTAAAAATAACTAAAACCAAAATGGGCTATGGATTCCCATGTCACAGTAAACTCACCCAGATCTAGAATCTTCCTTCCATAATAGAAAGCTCTAAAGTCCTTCTCCCATTCAAAGAATCCTCACTGCATCTGAAAAACAATGAGATCACCTTTATCGCCACACATGTTAAGACACTTGATTCTACCAACAAACCACATTTCCACTGTTTCATAAATGATCTTAGAAATTAGAATCTACGCATAACTTCTCAACTTTGAAACATTATTATCTTGCAAAAATCATTATAACAATATAATGAAAGAATGGACTCATGAAATCTATTTTTGACAATCAACATTTATCATATCAAAGGGCTAAGATGATCACATATTTCAGAAAAAAAATTATCATATACCAAGCAAATGAGCCTATGAGAAAGAGTTCCACAAAGAAATAGGACTGAGGTGGGAAAGGGAGTCATTTACAAGGGTGCCAAGTAGTGTGTTTTTTTAAAAATTTTTAATTCATGAATCTGAATATGTCACTCTACTTAAACACCTCAACTGTTTCCCATTGCCCCCAGTATAAAATCTAACTCCCTTACCACAGCTTTCAAAAACCGGGTTAAAGCTCACTTCTCCAGTGTTGTCCCTCATCACTCTAAATGCTCCCAAAATTCTTGTTATACTAGCTTTCTTGTGGTTCTGTGAATAATCCATAGGAAAAGCTGCAGAAACTTCCATCCAGCGAATAAAATTCTGTTTGATGAATCCTTGTTTTTTCACATAGAGTTTCCCCTAACTGAAATGGCCTTCCTTACCTGACTCATCTGCCCAACCCAGGCTAAGAGAGCCTTCCTCTGAGAAGCCATCCCAAACCACTTTCCCAAAAGTTACTCACTCTTTCCCCTTTGTCACATAGCATTGCTGTTATATTATTTATTGCAACTATTTGTTCCCTTTTAAGTGGGAATTCCTTCATGGCAGTTTGTGTCTTAATTATCTTTGTATCTCAGGGCCTGACAGTTTCAGGCATATAGTGATGTTTGATAAATGTTAAATGTTATATTGATATTGTTGAATCCTAAGTAGACACATGATATACACTTGAAAATCATCCCTGTATTTTAACAGCTATAAGTTTTATTAAAACTGACCTTCTAACAATATCTATACTAATAAAAAGTTAATATGCAAATGGTTGGGACGCCCTCACATGTAACGATCGATCAGCTGGAGGCTGCATGCACAGCAGGCGCGGGTGGGCAGGGACTTGCAGTGTCAGGGACTGGGGTGGGGCACAGCGAAGGCCTCTCCATGTGCCTGCACCAGGGGTCCACAGGCCTCCACCAGCTCCAGCCTACCTCTTTGGGGCAATCCATCAAGGAGCCCCAGATGGCTGGGTGGGGCCTACCTCTTTGGGCAATGGATCGTGGGGCTCCTGCACTGTGATGGCACAGGCCAAGCTGGGCCCCCCGCCCCGAGTGCATGAATTTTGTGCACCGGGCCACTAGCCTATGTATATTTTCCTTCTATTATGTTTTGTCTCACATCAAAACTTCTTGCTTTTCTACTGGGTATAGTCTATCTCCTATTTTATAAGTATTCAACTGGCTTCATTGTATAGCAACATGATGGCTAGCAAAAAAACACAATCCATGGAAACATCGCACCTCTTAAGAACTAAAGCTGTCCAAAGTTATAAAACCAGTGTGTGTGTGTGTGTGTGTGTGTGTGTGTGTGTGTGTGTGAGAGAGAGAGAGAGAGAGAGAGAGAGAGAGATACAATTGCTATTACATAATTTTGAATGGAGGCACCAGCTGAAGTTCCATTTCAATCATTTTATTTGTTTGTTTGTTTATCAAGAGCTGTCCTACAAAGGTTATCAGGAAACCACTAATAAAATTATAATAAACTAGAGGCCCAGTGCATGAAATTCATACATGGGTAGGGTCCCTAGGCCTGGCCAGCGATCAGGGCCGATCGGGGTCTTCCGGCTGCCAGCCAGCGCCGTCCTTCATTCCGCGCCGCCCCCTGGTGGTCAGCACACGTCATAGCAAGGAATCGAACTCCCAGTCTGACGGTCAAACTCTCGAGGGGACACTTTGCATATTAGCCTTTTATATAGATAGATACATAATATCACCCAATGACTCTTGACGTTTTTACCTGTGGGTACAAATTATCAGCTACACTTTTTTAACTGTGAGTACAAATCATTGGTTATACTCAGACTTGTTCTGGAAGGAATTCTGGCCCTTGCAGAGTGTTTCTCCCTCCCCATTGCCCAGTATGTCAGAATCGCTCAGGAAGGTCTTACAAGTTATTTCTGGTCATTGCACACTGACCCCAATATTGGTGGCACTGTTAGCCATGCCAGAACTCTGCAGACCACGCTCCTCTCACTGTTTTTCATCAATCTAAGTTTCTTCCCAGCCAGTAATGCATAAAGAATGGCAGGTAGAAAATATCCCTGTCTGTTACGCCCTCCTTGAGGACTCTTGGGAATATTGAGCACCAGGAGGGGAAGGTAAACAACAGTAAATTCCTGGGACCGAGGGTTGTAAAGATAGTGAGACAGTGTTGTTTTCTTTCTCCCTGAACTGACACACAAGGTGCTTTTATTAGGACAGATTTTTAGTATCAGCCGCCACACTTGAACACCCCTTTCATTCTCACCAGTCTTCTGACCTTTGGCCTGTACCTGAGCCTGACTTGTTCCACTAACCTTTTCTTTAAGGTGAGATAGGTTTTAGGGACTCCACCTGGCTTCACATAATTTGTCACCTTGTACTCCTACCTCCAACACATGCACACTCCAACCTCAAATTTGCCAGGCATACCAGACAACATCTGACCCCCAAGTGTGAACTTCACTTCGGTTGTTTATTTTTTCTCTCAGGAAAGTTTCTCAACACCCTCTTGGAATCAGCAGTTACAAAGATTATACTCCCAGGAAGAGGAATATCATCTAATTCCATGCGACCAAAGCATACAAAACTCAGCCTTGAATCTGAGATGACTCCCTCCAAGGCAACCACTATCAATATAAGAAATGTCATTACTGACATTTCTAGCCTCACTCAGTTCAAACTGATAGAGCGAAAACTGCTGAAAAGGATGCCCATAAATAGCTGAAATTTGAATTAGACAGTCATTGAAAAATTAAGTGGTAGGAAAGTAATGAAACCAAATGCATTTGTTTTTCTCCATATACTAAAACACATTCTCTTCTTTTACTTGGCAAATCTTATTGATATAATATAATTACAGGTACCTCCCTTTCTTTGATGGATGGCATTCGTTTTCACAATTGCCTTCTGCCACTGTGCCATGCATAAGTATTGACAGGGATGCAACATACTCCATAAATTAAGGTTTTAGGTTCAAGAGCTAATTTTGATGTGGTTTACATCAATGCGATTTCATTGAAGATAAAAATAGTTTGATGGATTTGTATAACTCAATAGGTGAGAAATAGTAGAGTATGTGCAATTCCCAAATTAGAAAGAGCCTATTTACCACTGTGCTTTGAATTCTTGATCTTGCTATGTAACAGTAGCTCCTCTTTGAAAAAAGCATTGGATAAAGGTCAGCTCTTTCAGATTACGGAATGGGAAAAAGCACTAAAGTAATTTCCTAGTGAATGGATCTAAAGTATTATTCATTATGTTGTCTGGATATATACACTGATGGAACTTACAAAATCATTTATTTTTGTATTGGCTACACTTTGACATTATAGATCAGATCAAAATGACACATAAGAGCAGAAGGCCAGTTGCCCTAGGTGCATATGTGTTTATCTTTCCACTTTAAATGCTCCAGATGTTACAGTCAAATGGGGGAGAGCTGGTTGAAGTTTGTTGTTTGTTTGGTCTTTTTTGACCTGCATGGAATCACTTAAGTGAACCTCTCAGGTAAAAGAAACAAACAAATAAATAAAATATAAGGATATACAACAAGCAGCCACCCATGTGTCCTGGGAGAAGAGTATGAGGTCTTTGGTTTTGTTCCAGCAGATGAGTAATTCTGCCCGCATCCTGATAAGAAGAGGTTTTACTTGGGATGGAGGTGGCCCAATCTTTATCCGAAGCCCAGCCCCTGAACCCTAGCCAATACTTAAAGTGAAAATATCTAATTATAGAAAACAGAGATTTGGAGATGTCTGTGGAGACTGGTGATGCAGAGCCAACATTAAGTGTCTAAATGCTTATGTGAGAGGGCCAGTTTGAGCAGTATGGCTAATGTTGGAAGCTCCTCCAATCTAGGCACCCAAGCACAGCAAACAGTCACTGAGCATTAAAATGTGTGGTTCCCTGGGTGATATTGTGACTTATAATAAGAAATTGATATTTGGTCTCTGTCCCCTTTTCTAGTATAGAACTTCTAAAATCCTTGGAATTTCCTAAATGATGAGAATGATGTGACTTTGGGAATAGCCCTAGGTCACCCAAGGATGGTGACTGGTTGCCAGGAGAACAAACCCTTTACAATCCTGTGCAGCATTTCGGACAACAACAGGCCAGTCACATATATAACAGTGGTCCCATAAGATTATAATGGAACTGAAAAATTCCTATGGCCTAGTGAGACTATAATAGTCTTGCCCCCATAGCACAAGTAAGAGATAGTTGCCAAGCAACCTGACAGAAGGAAGAAGTAACCCCACCCATGGAAAATTCCACTCCCTGAACCCTTCACAATCCCACCTTTTCTTTTAAGCCCACTTTGTTCTCAGCATATAACAGCAGCCCATGGCCTGCACCCCAGCCAGTTCAGAGGGCCTTCCTTTCCTTTGTGCTGTCTCCCTTGTGCTTGAGCATAAGCTTAATAAAATCTGCCTGGAAATTTCTCTGGAGTTTCCTCTTGATTTCTATCTTGGGGAACCCAAGAACCCCAATACTGGTAACATGCATATCTTTCCTTATGAATCTCTTCCATCTGGATATCTCTGAGCTATGTCCTTTTATAATAAACCATCTAATAAGTACATTTCTCTGAGTTCTGTGAGTTGCTCTAGCAAATTAATTGAACCCAAGAAGGGGGTCATGGGCACCTCTGATCTATAGCTAGTTGGTCAGAAGCACAGGTGACAACCTGAACTTGTAACTGGCATCTGAAGCAGGGTGGGGAAGTCTTGTGGGACT